AAAACATACCGAAGCTTTCAGATTCTCTCTTCTCTCTCTCTGTCTTTTTCCCTCCCTCTCCCCCCCCCCCCCCCCCCCCGTCTGTCATATGATATAGATGAGGCCCCATGTTATCCAATGTGACAACATGAGCTCATCACCTCAGAGATTGTCCTAATCTCTGAAGCAGCTCACAAGGTTTTCTAAAAGCTTTACATCATTAAAAAGACGTGACCTGGCGGAATCTCCCGTGGTTTGTGGTGTGGATGTTGACTGATTGTTTAGATACCCACTCGATAGTACCACCACTGTATACCGCAGCATTGTGGGATTTGGTGGCACTGTAGCTTTAAACACGACGATTGATTGATGCTGAGCTTCGTCTCGTTTGCACTAATGCACTGGATGCTTTTTTCTTTTAATGCCATATTCAAATTAAGTACGCAAATCAAACAATACGATGCTGACAAAACAAAAAGACAAAACAGTTGAATTGGATGCAAGGGGCCCCTCATTGGACCTCTATTTAAAACTGGTTGCTGTGGTGATAATCCTGATAATGTTGCCAGGAGTAGGAGTCAAACCTCCAACGTCTGCTCTTGCGTCACCTTAAAAGAAATCTGGTTGCTTCTTTAAATGAAATATAAAACGCTGCGGCTGCGGTCTCACTCTGTGTTTTCGGTTATTCTGTCGTCTATATTTAGAACAAACAGTCTTTGTGTCAATCCTGCTGCTCTGCTGCCTGTGATTGTCTGCAGCATTGTCTCGTCTTTCATCCTCTGAAAGGGTCACAGACATCATTAAACCTTCTGGATGTGTGTCATTAGTTCCTCTGAAAACACAAGCTTCTGTTTGTTCCAGGTTAATTGGAACATCTCGTTCATATTTTTCCCACATGTGGTGGAACCTACTTGTAACTACAGATTATCCCGTGAAGACTTTTGCGTAGATAAATTGATAATTGAATGTCACAGAGGACGTTGCAACCATATTTGGGCTTACATCCTTTGAGTGTTGAGGTGTTGTCACCTTATTTTGTCGTTGTCAGCTGGCAGCACTGATTTTGTTTATTTTCGGGGCTGCGATGTGCTGAATGTGTCGACTATGGTTAGACACAGAGCTGGTGAGGAAACGCAGTCAGACAACGCAAATAAGCACGCACACACACACACACACACACACACTGAAACGGATACACAAGCACAAAGTGATGCCTACAGCAAAATAATAATTTTGTACAAACTGATGTGTAAAGAAATACACAGGCTAGACACAGTTGAACGCATTACTTTATACATGTTGATGCACACACACACACACACACACTTCTTTACAAGGCCACACTGCCCTTTACATCTATGTTTATTGAGGTATCGGTGCTAGAGCTGGAATGCCCATTAAACTCCGTCTGTGTTTGTAAGAAGCTAGTCGTCCACAGGATGGAAGAATGTCCACCGTAACTTGTTTTAGTCACACTGTGTGGCTCCGACCACTAGTGACTCCCTTAAAGCTCGGCGTGAATGTTATAGACCACGATTCGCATCCAAGCAACACAAATATGAAGCGCACAGGAAGTAGCAGCTTGTACCCGAGTGTTTCAGGAGGGAATTGTGAGTGTTTATTGGTGGGAAGCCAGCGAGGGATCATACACATAGAGGGCAGAGGAACGCCTGGTACACATTCCTGGTGATGTTGCTCACTGGCAGGTGAAAAGAAGCAGCCGGCAACACCAAAGCTTATATTACATAACTGATATTCTGTCATAAAATAAATCGGTGACAAGTTGAGCAAAGATGCAAATCCACTGGTTCCAGCCTCTCAAATGTGACTACAGTATACAGTAGACGTCACACGCGTGTGTGAGTTAATGTTGGAGTTACAATTGAGGATCAAAGTAAAGGGGAATAAATGGAAAGTAAATTTAAAAACAGAGACTAGTAACTTACTTTGCCTCCTGCGGTAAGTCAAACCACTTTATTCATAAATCACTTTTGTCACCATGTACCTCTAATACAGTGTCACTCTATCGGATGTTTGTGGCTTCTTTGAGTTAAGATGAAAGGAAACCGTCTGCTGTTTTAACCCTTTCCACATCCTTCTCTATATGGCACCATTTTCTGAGAGCACCTGCGTTCATATTTCACCTGCATTTGTATTCTGGCAGCATGTTTAGATGGTGTTTGATGTTTGGTAAGCATTCCTCCTGTGCTCTCTCTTCTCTACCTAACTTGTTTATTTCCTTCTGTTGATTAGCTTTCCTCTCCACCCCTCCAACCCTTCTTCCAGCTTAATTTGATTTTAATCTCGCTCACTCTTTGTTTGGGTAAATGCCCTCTAGATTTTCCGATGAACAATGTTTCTTAGTTGTTGTTTTTTTGTATCTGTGCTTGACTTATTTTCCTCTTCTGTCTCGTGTGTAGGATCGCAAGCTGTCCAAGTCTGAGCGCCAGCGCTTCAAAGAGGAGGCCGGGATGTTGAAGGGTCTCCAGCATCCTAACATTGTCCGCTTCTATGACTCCTGGGAGGGACCGTGCAAAGGAAAGAAATGTATTGTTCTGGTCACGGAGCTCATGACATCTGGCACACTTAAAACGTGAGTTCATGAGAGATAAAATTACGTTTCCAAAATGTTAGTTTAGTGACCGTGGGAGTAAAAGATGTCCAAACGTAACTTATTGGCATGAAAAACAAAGACTCGTGGTGCCTTTGAAGTATTCAGTTCATGAATTTGCAAGTAATATGCACAAACACGTGCACACATACCTGTTTTTCCTTTTGCTTCTGAAGAGCACTGTCATTACAGATGATGACTCACTTCCAGCTTTTTGTTGAAATGTAGAAATCACACACACCTGTTGCCTCCTCTTTCCTGTTGAAATAATACTTCTCTATTTTCGACTTCAAACAGCCTGCGGTGTCGTCAGCACATCACCTCCCAGCCGGAGTTCAGTGCTGAGAGCAGCTGTTAGTGGGTCAGCTAGCGTGTCTGACTCATTACATGTGCAGTATAATATGAGTCTGTGTTATTTACAGTGTATATGTGTCGGACTGAGTGCCCGTCAATGCATGTATGGAAAAACAATGGACCCAATATGTTGGGAAAGCTCAGGAATCATGGGGAGACTCCTTTCTCTGTGTGCGGCAGGCTTTATATCTGTGGGCCGTCTGTCGGCCCCTCCCCTAAATTCACAGGGGTATTGACGCACTTGTGGCTGTCATTGTCCATGCCGGTCTCTCTGCTGTACAGAATAGATGTGTCTGTGAATGCGAATGTGATTGTTAAGCTCCTGACACAATAAAAGGCTAAATGTGAGGCTTGTGGCGCATGGCGTGCCCCACGCGGTGCATCGTGGGACATTGGCCCACCTGCCAGCTGCTGCTTCTGCTGCAGATTCCTCTCATTCCTGACAGAGAGACAGAGGGAGAGAAACCAAATGAGGCATGTGGGGAGGGGGGTGGGGAGGGGAGGGGGAGGGCAGACAGGAGACATGGATGGATGACCAGACTGAGTTTTATCCTAAATCATAGAAAGAGGGAGACAGGAAGTCAAACGGTCTGAGAAGCAGATCGTGAGACAGTCGGCTAAAGAGGCAGATAAACGCACAAATAGTCAAATTTAAAAAGTGGAAATCCAGTTTAAAGGCAGCGAGGCAGAGTGACAAACCAATGAACCAACTGTGACCACAAAGGGTATTAATCCAGCAGCACAGCACTACCAAGGACAGTAGCACCCTCCACTGGAAGACTGCTTCATAACTTCAACAAATGCAGGCGTCCTGCATCTATCCAGCATGTTTCACACATAACAGTTAATCAAAAGATATATATTTCCTGACTTTTTAGTTTAAAAGCAGGAAATATGAATTAACAAAAGAGAGGTTTTTAGTAATTTACTTTTCAGACAAGACCGTGGACAAAATGAGTCACCGGAATGCAAAAACAAAGTTAAGTAGGGCATGTACTGTACAATAGTTTAAAATTCCCTACCACCGTGAACAATCACATTGTACTTTATACTCAAGTATACCTAATATTCAGGATCCACCTGACGATTAATCAGCTGATTGTATTGTTTGGTTAATAAAATAGTGAGAAATGTATGAACAGGATCGAGGCTGCACAGGGATCTGGCTGCCATCCAAATGAAGACTCGGAAAGGAGAGGAACTGTTGTGTGTGTGTGTTGAAGTGGTGGAAAAAAGGAGGGATGGTGAGAGGGAGGACTGATAGGAAAGGGAGGGCGATGGTGAGAATGGAAATACTGACCAGCATGGGTTCAGGGTATTAGAGGCCCCTTATCTGCAGTATGTGTGTCCGTGTGTGTGTGTGTGTGTGTGTGTGTGTGTGTGTCTGTGTGTGCGCAATTGGTCATCTGCTCATGCATGCACAAGTACCGTATGTACTGTTCACATACTGTATATCTATGTATATCTGCACATTTCTCACAGTGCAAAGATGTATCTATGCGTGTTGAAAAGAGCGCGGTTGAGTGATTGTGTGTTGGAGAGATGCTTTGTGCAGTGTCACTCAAGCAGCGCAAGCCACATGGTTTACCTCGTCTGTCAACACTGTTCCGACTTCAGAGAGCGAGATAAAGAAAGCGGAGGAGACAGGCGAGGCACAGGAGGGCAGGTAGGTAAAGGGGAGGAAGGTGCAGACTGAGGAAGAGGAGACCAGAGCGCTGTTTCTGAACAGATGCGTGAGAAGTTGAAATAAAAGCGAGGGATGGGGATGGATGTGAGGAAGAGGCGTTTGAAAGGTTTTAGTGTGAACGCTCAAGTTATGCAGATGTACATTTTGATTTATGGTCACTTTAAAAACTCCCCAAAAGATCATTTTTCTATCTGTGTTCAGTGCCCTGAAGGCAAATGTATGTGAATCGAGCCAGATGTCTAATAAATTCCTCTGCGTAACCTCTAAAGATATAGAGGAACGGTGAGAGCGTGTGGTCATACTCTGTGGCTAGTATGGAACTGACTGACTGTGAATTTGAATATTGTTAATGCTGACGTTCACAGTTGACTGTACCTGGTGGGCCAGTAATCCTGATCAAGCTAGAGGACATCGCAGGCCAAGGACAGAAGAGCGGACACAATGCATGTTGATTATTTTGATTCCACTGGTCAGCAGAGATGCTGCCTGCCGGCCTGGTTGTCATTCAGTGGCCTCTGTTGTGAAGGGTATGTTACGTAGCATGCTGCTGCTCCTGCAACAAGGAGAGACGAATTCAAATGAGGTTTAAAGAGTTAAAAAGGAGTCTTTTAGACCTCAGTTCGGTCAGCTGCCGGCTATTCACTTGGACCATGGGCAGATTGTTTATTTGAATTAAATGCAGTGAATAGATTAAAGGATGAGATGATTTTGAGCTCAAAGTGCTTTAACAAATAACAACAATTAGCTCAAATCAAATTATTCTACCCGCTGTGATGCTGGGAAATTAGCACATACCAAGCAGAGGTCCGGGCTAAGCCCCGAGTCCTCAAGTCCTTGGAAGAGATGAGTTGTTGTTTTCTTTCTTTCTGATAATCGTCCGTGTTTGTGTGTTAACTGGCCCCTCCTGTCATTTTGCAGAAGTGGCCCCTGGGCAAAGCGAGTTGAGTATCCCTGTTCTAGAGGATCAGAGGACGACTAACCCTGCCTGTCCTTGGTGCTGCTTGGTGCTTTAGCTGAAGAGCTGAGGCAGACGCGTCCCCAGCTGATGAGAGCAAATTGGAAACACTTTGCTTAGAAATCGAGCAGCGAGTTTAAATGAGCTAATCTAGAGTGATAGTCAGATGAGTTTTCTCCAAGCTCTTCAAGAGAAGTGTTGACTGAAGCCTTTTCGTCAAATCAATTCAATAAAAACCGACTGCGTGTTTAACTTTGACTGAAAGTGAAGGAGATGTTCAATCTGGAAGCGCTGTGGTGCAGATAACCGAAATACATTTTGAACACAGTGAAAATTCCTGCATTGGTCTCCCTGTAATGCTATGAGGGTTTCCAAAGACGTGACCTAGAGGGAGACTCCAGATCACACACAGGTGTGGGTCTGTGCTGTTCTATACAGTAGAATTGCCTTTCTAAATGGTCAAATAGGCAAACAAACAGTGTAAAACATGCTCTCAGTCCCGCTGAATGAAGCTCATGAGCCCTGGCTGTTCTTTGACTTTGCATTGGTCATTCTCTGGAATCAGGCTTTTTCCGACATATTTGTATGTGGATTAAAATAGATGTCTGTTTTCCAAAGGTACAATAAGGTCACAGATCTGTTTGTCTCAGTATTCCAGTGGTTTGTTGGTCATGATGTCCGTCTCTAACCATGCGGATGCCAGAACGGCTTGTCTTTGTTCGTGTGTGTTTTTAATGCGCACAGTCGTTCACGTTTGTGTGGGTATTTCGGGCCCTTCTGTTTTTAAGATGGAAATGTCTGACAGTAATCCACTTTGCTTTGTAAGCTTTCATCTTTAATTGAAGCATTCTCCGTGTTTCCGTTGCTGCATCTTATCTGGCTATCGTCGGGCCCTCCGTGCTTTGCTTTTGGAATAATTCATTCCCTCATGGATGGTTTTCAGTGTCCTGCCATAATACAATTACTGTGCAATACACTCAAAACACTTTAGAAGAGCCCCTGGACCTCAATGACGTGATGCTACAGATGAGATATGAGATGCATAGTGGGGCAGCTTTGTTTTCTTAGCTGGCGGACAAATGCCACTTGAACAGGATACATGGCTGCTCTCTGTATATTTGTGTACACTTAATCTCCAACGAAGCATTGTTGAATGACATGTTTGTGCGTGTGTGTGATTTTTCTTTGTTCCGCAGCTACCTGAAGCGGTTCAAGGTGATGAAAATCAAGGTCCTGCGATCGTGGTGTAGGCAGATCCTCAAAGGCCTTCACTTCCTGCACACCAGAACTCCGCCCATCATTCACAGGGACCTGAAATGCGACAACATCTTCATCACGGGGCCCACGGGCTCGGTGAAGATCGGGGACCTGGGTTTAGCCACGCTAAAGAGGGCCTCCTTCGCCAAGAGTGTCATAGGTAGGAACCAGCCTGTACACAGCCACTCGTTCCTAGTTCCTCACCTCTAACATCTCACACACACCGGTCTGTAGAGCTGGGCGAGGTACGATGTAGGTCATTTCATATCTCGATAACGATACATATCACCATATAGCATGTTTTCTGCTTATCCATTATATAGTCTTTAGCATTTAATTAAGAATTTAGGGCAAAATTATGAGATTTTCGGATAAATTTGAGTTATGTGCATATTAGCAATTTAGACAACGGAATTGTGTATCACAATATCTCAATATATATTTCATCACGATATGATTCCACTGAAAGATGATAAATTATCATATTGAATCGCCCAGCCCTATAGGTTTGTAGTCAGACATAAAGCTGTATATCTATGTGGAACTTTAAGATCTGCGAACGTGGAGAAAGTTAAACAACTGACATCATTCATATGACTTTGCCTCAACAGTAATCACTATACACACACACACGTCCACACACGCTGTCAGGTGTACGCAAAGACTTGAGCACGGCGACATTGTGTCCTACTACACACGCCTGCTGTCGATTAATCCTACTGCTTCTAAAATGTCTGGTTTTAAAAGCAAACCGCAGGTATTTGGAAATGTGAAATACTCGTCAGTCAGTCTGCTTTTAAGCTGGAATTAAGCTGTCTGGAGATACACACCACACACACACCCCATAGATTACACACGTTTATACTGAAGTGGAGTTAAAATGTGCCTGCTGTGCTCCATATAACTTGGCTGCCATTCAGTTGTTATTCAGTTGTTGAATACAGATATTCTGGTATTCGCCCACAAGCACCATTACTGTGCATATTCTCACGCACTTGAGATGAGAATGATGCGCTTTGTAAATCTCACAGCTGCTTTGTAGCAATTGGACAGACCTCAACTATTTGGACACTTGTAGATTTCCGCAAACACACGCATGCATGTGCACACACACACACACGCACAACAAGGCTACCAGTAAGTGAGTTTGTAATTTACAATTCCCAGCTGTGTTTAGGGAATTTTTAGTCCTCTACGAATCATTTTAGTATGTGTTAGTTACAACTGACCGAGCCAGTTTCTTTTCCAGCTTTGTTTATTTAAACCTCAGTGTGCAGATATATTTTGTTACGTAACAGGTACCATGTTGAGTTTAGCATGATGACTTAGAGACCTTAATTCTATCTAAGGGTTAATTGTTTTCCGTCTCCTTTTTCATCAGGAACCCCAGAGTTCATGGCTCCAGAGATGTATGAGGAGAAGTACGATGAATCCGTGGACGTCTACGCCTTCGGGATGTGTATGCTGGAGATGGCTACCTCCGAGTACCCCTACTCTGAATGTCAGAACGCTGCCCAGATCTACAAGCGGGTCACTAGTGTAAGTTGGCCTCTCCTCTACTGTACGGGAGGGGAACTGTTTCTTTTGGATGCCTCAGCTGTGAATGAAGTTACACTGCGGAGACACCGAGTTGTGACATTCATGCGTTGCGTCCAACAGCCCTGCTTGTCCTTTCTTGTCTGTAATCTCCTCCCTCCTCTGAGCGACTCTCTCTGCCTCTCCTCTGATACTTGTTTACTGACTGTGGGAGATCCAGTCATATGACCGTGTTTTTGCACTGGTTAGTTAGTCTTGCAAACAACAAAGTTGAAATTAAATGAAGGGAAATATGACACTTAGTTCTATAAAAAAATAAAAATGGATTGAAATGCACTTACTTTCCATTCACTTTGAGCTTTGTAACAAAAATTTGATAGACAGTTGTGAAAAAATCCGAACAAAACACAGATGGAGTGGACAACAGATGCATCAGAGGCTGTTTTAAGTTGAGTGCTGCTGAGGTTGTGACCCCAACGCGCGCGCGCACGCACACACACAGAGGCAGCTGTCTCCCTCCTTTCCTCACAGGACTGAGTTCAGCTTTGTGGAGGCTGGCAGTGATGGTTAATGGACCAGAGGATTTTACTAGAAATCTCTCTTTCTCTTCGTCTCCCTGCATCCTGCTCGTGTGCTTCCATTATTGCTGTGTTCTCTCTCTCCCTCTATCTGTCTTATCTCATCTTATATTTCACTGCAGATCAGGAAAGATGCTCAAACATGTGGGCACGTCTTTACTTACTTAATTAGATACAAATAACGTTCACTTCAAAGGAATGATTACCACAATAATCCCTAAATCTTTTGCTGGTAATAGGACAGAGGGGCAGTGCTGTTTATAGCTTATGGATGAGTGCAACATCCCGCTCAGCTAAAACAAATTCTTCTGTTATCTCTCGTGAAGTCTAATTGTAAAATTGAATGTCAACTTTAGACACACACTGGCAGCTGTGTCTCCATAATGTGTATACGAAAAACCACCACTGTGAGAGAACAGAACCAGTCCTCTGTCTTTCTGTCTGCCGTCATCTCTCTGAATCTTTCAATTTAATTAAAAGAACTTCATGCGCAGAATAAATTCAGACAGTATATTCCAATCCATATGTCCGTCTCGCCTCGTCTCACTCGCACAAAATTGAAATCACACGGCAGAATGAGATTATGGTCGTGACCTCGGTCTCCGTGTTTGTGTGTATGTGTTTGAGTTATAATTTCATAGCAGTAATCTCATAAATTGAAAGTGAAAGCGCATTACGCTTCTCAGATCTTGTTATTCAGTCAGCCAGACATTGTGTCAAACAACCACCTTCAGTTACCTGTGTTTATTGTCTCTCACACACACACACACACACACACACACACACACACACACACACACAC